TATACTCATACGGTAAAAAAGTCTATAAACTGGCAGTTGAATTCTGACTTTCAACTACCATGACCCGACTGCTTGTCATATTCGTTCACTTTCACAGTACTCACCTTACCCTTTCTCTACCTTTTTATCTCTCTATCTCCTTTACATCTTCTGTTCCCCCCCCCCTCCTCGACTTTTTGTGACATTGATTTTTCTCCCCTCTGTGAAGTTCAAAGTCAACTAAAGGGCTACTGATAACCATCATGAAACCTGCCATTGGATATAAATAAATATTTACCTCATGGATTTAAGAACCATTTTATAGTAAGGAAGCCTCCTTTCCTCCAGTCGCCTTGTTCACTAAATCATCTGCCCAGGGATTTCCGCCATTTACAGCCGGTTGAACTCGGGCAGGAGGTGTGGGTGGAAGAAGAGCATCAGAGAGCTCCTCGTGTCCACGGAAGGGTTCAAAGGGAAGCGATGGCGCTTGTGTACTTGTTTCTCCTGTTGTCTGGTTGTCCGCTCCCTTGCCAAAACATTCATCCACCCAAGTGCATGTCGCAACCTATGAAAATGTAGGAGCCTGGATACCTTATTTTTAAACCGCTTTTCTTTAACGCACTAAGAAAGTTATTTTGTTGTTTTGCAATGTATTTTGATTTGACTGGCTTGATTAATGTGCAAAATTAGCAGTAAATAAAGAAAATACGGAAGCCGATGAGAGGAAAGAATAGATGGTTGCCTAGTTGCGCGAGTAATTGGACTTATGTGAAGTGCATTACATAATGATCGAGCCACTCGATCAATGCTTTAATTAGATGAAAAAGAGTCGTAATAAAATGAATGCGATCAATTGCTCAAAATGATCTCAAAACACTTTGACTTACCAACTCTAAGTTTTATCGAAATGGATCTTACTTAAAGTGCATCAAATTTACTTTTCACTGTAAAACTACTCGAATTTTATTCGATTCATTATGTCAAATAAACCATCTTAGCTAAAAAATACTTTTTAAAATTTCCGTTTTATCGAAATCATTTTCACCCACCTTTCCTTCAACTGGGGCTGTTGACCTTGTGGCAAGTTCTAAGAAACCATCTTCTCCTTCTGATCCTCGGTATGGCAACTTCAATGGTGGAAGTGGAAGACTTTGCGAGTTACTTCCACCAGGACTTGAGGAGTTATCAGTACCAGAAAAGCGGGCTTCATTGTTATAATTATTGCAACTACCATTACCATTTCTGTTATTCTGCAGGGGCGAGAGAGAGGGCAACTTGGGCGAATTGATGCCAGTGCCTAGGGAGGAGTGTTGGTGTTGAGGTCTAGTGTGGCGTGGGGAGGTGGAGGTGACATTTCGAAGAGAATCACGGCGTGCTGAGGTAGAGGGAGTCAGCATATTCTGAACTATTACGTCCAGTTCTGCTAGCCTGGAAAATCCCTCAGATTTTGAGGTGGCGAAGGTGGCGGATTGAGGTAGGCGGGATGTGGCTCCTGGTGATCTGACGCCCTGTAAAGTAAATCGAAACTAAAGTAAATGATATAAAGATAAACTGCAATTTTGATACAATGATAAAATCAGGCGCCATTATTTTCCCTATAACAGTATGAAAGATGATAATGAGTGGTAAATGAATGACGAATTGATGAAAATAAAACTCACTTTATCATCTTTAACGGGACGAAAAGTCGTTTTCTCATAGTTCACACATGTGTGTTGACATATAAGCTCAAATTTCAATTTTTTAGCACTATCAGAGAGAAGGAGACAATTATTTCAAATGCCTGGTATCTGTCACCTAGAACTTCAGCAATGCAGCTTAAAGTGATAAAATTTGCAATTAAGATTAATTAATTGGTCATTTACACGTGAGTAATTGCTCTGTATGCTTTTAAGAGACGTATTTTCAATACTTTATTTATTACTTTTAAATAATTAATTAGGAGAATGTGTAAATGAAATTGAAATGGTGTAACTTAAACACTCAGCGGCAATTAAAGTACATTAACACTAGTACTTTTAAATGTAACTAAAACTCATTTGAGATATTAGAATGGTAGGGTAACATCCTGATTTGAAAAAAATACCAACATCCTGTTTGTGAAGTAAAAGTAATTCACTGCTTTTGACTAGAATTCTGTTCAAATAAGCAAGATGTGATGAATCATATATATATATATATATATATCTAATTGACAACGTTGATTCTATCGATTCGGCTTGTTTACCTAACAGATTTCCTAGACGGAAAAAGATAAATTATGCAAATCACCAGTTAACATAAAACACGACGATAAATTCAACTTACGGATAAACCGTTGAATGCTTTTGATGTGGTATAAAGGCCTTTCTCTGAGGTAGCGGAAGGTATTGGGGAAAGATTTTTCAGTCGCTTCAACCTAATGGCCATTTCTTGGAAACCTTCGGAAAGATTTCTGTTCTGACTCAGTAGTTGTTCAATTCGATACTTGAAAAAAAACCCGGTGAAAGAAAATTAGACACCAAACCTGTCCTTCCATTCTCGCAGCTGCTTCTAGCTTCAGTTGGCGCATTAGCCGATGTATCTGAAAGAGGGCAATCTTATTTTCTGTTTCTTGAATATTAAGCTGACGCTTGAGAATATCAAGAGTTTCTGCTGAGAGTGCGGATGTGATATCTCCAGGAGATTTGGCCTCAGTCTTCGAACCATCAACTGATGTGGAAGCTAAATTAGGAGTAGTAATCGAGCTTGAAATTCCCATGACAGGGTCAGCAATACTTGAGGCCTCTTTGGACAGTTGATAGGAAGAAATTGATCGTAGATCATTCTTGCATGTCTTAATCATATTAGCTTCGAGGAGGTCTAATTGCCGGCTTAGAGTAGTATGAGACTCACTTAACGCTTCACCTCGACCACCCTAGAAATCAATAGCAATCAATAATATTAAAATTTACTAGGTATGGCACCCAGGACAATGGGTCGGACTGCCGGGTTTTCTCATTAGAAGCCACTGATTGATCACTAGTCAAGGTTCCCTGTAATTCACTCAGTAGACGGGTAAGTAATATTGGATCTGGTGGAAGACTCGATTGACTTTGAATAGAGTGAGTAGAACTTCCACAAAGAATGTCCCTCGCCAGATTAGTATCCAAGCTCTGACTTTGTGGAAGACCGAATATCGACATAGGAGCTGGGGCTGTGTAACCAAATCCATGTCCGAATTGACCCCAAGTAAAGAAGTCATCGTTTGTAATACTCTGTTTCATGAGGGTCTTTAAATGCCTTCGGGGTAAATCTGAACTATCACTTGAGGCGTCACCTTCATCACTGGATGTCTGATTTCGGCGTCTGCGCCTACCGGAAGCCTTTTTAACCTTCTTCAAGGTCAGTGGAGCTAAGGGTTTCTTTAGGTCCTCATCAGAACCTTCGTCGCTGTATACAACACTCCTGGCACGTTCATCATGTCCATTAGGTTCCTGGTCGTCATCTGAGCTACAAGCCTTTTTCCGTGATGTGTTCTGTCGTCGTCTTCTGGCTGAACCTCGCCAGTCATTTTCATCTGAGGAGTTTTCAGCCAGATGCGATGAATGACTACGATTATTTCGGGTCATTGATTTTCGGCGGTGAGGGGAGGTTGCACGGAAGCTGCCTGTATCTCCACTCACCCGATTCTCGTCGTTCTTTTTAATTGCGTTGGAATCGTTTTCCTGTTTCTGGAGGGCCAGTCGATGGCACACGTCAAAGGCTTGGCCAACTGTTCGGACGATTCGCATTGCTTGCAGCTGAAATTGGCAAGAAAAGCATGAATCAACGTCCCATAGAACTACAGGACATAAATTGAAGGCCATTCGTCATTAACTACTTAAAATCATCGGGCCTTCTCTCTGCAACGTACCTATTCTAGTGGTACACAAATGAGAGGATATTTTTTTCAAAGTAGAAACTTATTTAGCTTTGAACTTTAAGGGTACATGGTTGTGTTGAGATGACCCTCATCTTGGCATCCTGATTTATAACTAAATGGTTAAAAACCTGAACTCGTAAAAAGCTCAAGAATTTATTCCTGGTTGTGAGTTGTCAGTTACGTTTTCACTTTTCTAATTGCTCTAAGAATGATTGAAGTTTCGTTGCATTCTCCTCAAAATATACGACAAAAAACAATAGAGAAAGTTAGTTTTCAACCAAAAATTGCAGACCAATAAAGCGGAATAATGCAGCATTTTTTGGGCAAGCAAAGTATAAATTCTACCGATTCAAGTAACTATGGTACTGCCAAAAGTTAATCTCGGTTGAGGAGTGACATATTGAAAATGTTCTAATGCAGTACATAAGTTTCACCAGATGTGTACCAATACACTTCGATCTTGAGACCCTTCACCATTGAGCCATTGGCGTAGAATATAAGAAATGGTTTAAGGGCCTTATTTTGATGGGATTGAATTGTCCCATAATAGTTTCAACTATACAAACCTCATCTAACTCTAAGTCCATCAATGGACTTTGAACCATCGACTTACGAGTAGCAGTAGGCATTGAAACACAATTAAGCGAAGTTATGCAAAACATCTCGTATGTCTGCTACTAAACCCGGCATGAATTTGGTAATTGCAATGCAGAATACCAAGCTGCTGAGACTTGTGAAAAGCAACAAAACAGACGATCTGATGCGGTTGCACTCGAACACCAGGTAGCCTTGAAAATCTATTGCAGAAAAAAATTTTTCTAACACCTTGATATCGGAATTCGGACCTTGTCGCTCAGGGTTCATTGAATATTTCGCCCTGTGCCAAAAAAGTTTGAACTCAATTAAAACCTTCGAGGTCAAATTCTCCCGGAAAATGCCTATATAAATCAGTTTGGACAAAGGGGAAGGCGCTTCTGATCAAAATGAAACTTCTTGTTGGATAACTGATGATCACTTTGGTACTTTTCAGATAAGAGCAACTTTCCTCAAGATCAAAAGCACAAAAATCGAAATTGCCGATGACTTGGTTTGTATGCGTTTACTCCTCGAATCATACAGTATTAATTTCCTCAAAATGTCTTGCTTTACGGTGGTGTTCCCCGAGGTGATGTGAAGCCTCTCTCTAAGCATACTTTTAATAACGGCTTTGGTCTTAGGTTGAATTCAAATGTCAACGAACGAGGATAGCCAATAATAGGCCACGTACATGTCAGCAGCGGGATTCGCCTCCTTGCCCCGCCTCAAGGGAACGTGAAAAATGGTTGCCAGGCTACTTCGACGACTGTACCCATCCCGATATTCGGGCTCCTAACTCCCCCCCCCCTCCCTCAGATCTTAACTCGATGGACAATTATGCTTTTTCTGAACAATTTGAACAGAGACTCGAATTTCTGTGCCATTACTATCAGTTAGTGACTAGAATGAAAACAATTGCTGAGACTTGATCCAAAAAGTGCACAAAGAGCTTTCTCCAGATCAGGGGTCAGACTGATTTTGAAATGAACACTAAAAATGGTTACTTTGCGTGAAACTCTTTCACAGTAGTGTAATTTCCTTGAATATCGAACTTCTTTTAAATCTATTACAGTTTGAAGCTACTAAAGTCGTTTTCTTTTCCCTGATGAGAGAGCACAAATAAGCGCAACTTGCTCTCATGTAATTAATGTCTGGAGGTCAACGACAGTCGGACTCACAGTATCTCCTACTAGCTGTCAAGCTGTCAGAAGATAAAGTGCAACGTAGTTATAGCCTGAAAGAAACATTCATCTCGAGGGAAAAAACATTGTGTTCTTCAATCGGGTTAATATGCATCAGTTTTCATTTTCCATACCTATTGCGCTTACAGGTTTACCCTACCTTCACGTCGTCCTATGCTAACGAGACCCTAATTTATCAGCTGATTAACTATGATTGTACGCGGGGTGTGCGATATACTTACCTCTACATGGGGCACCTTGGGCAACGTATACTCATACGGCAAAAAAGTCTATCAACCGGCAGTTTGACTTCTGACTTCAAACTACCATCACCCCACTGTATGTCATATTCGACCACTTTCACAGTACTCACCTCACCTTTTCTCTGCCTTTGTGTTTGTCTCTTTTACACCTATAAATCACTCTTCTGTTCCCCACCCCTCGACTTTCTGTTACTTTGATGTTCCTTCCCCTCTGTGAAGCCTGAAGTCAACTGAAGCCCTAATGATAACTATCAAAACCCCTGCCATTTGAAATAACTAAATACTATGATTGTACGCCAATGGAAACGCATATGCAGTATTTCTTCCTTGTAGACTGGGCACAAAGTCCCCGCCATACGTTTTACTAGGGATGTCTTGTTCGTAATAGGCGCCGAAACACTTTTCATTAATTTGCACTCAATATTTTGACGTCATTTTATCTAACTTCGATATCTCACTGATATGATGGTCAGTTTATCGGGTTAGTCACACGCTAGGGTATTGTGAATACTATCCACACGCACACCTAACCNACCCCCCCCCCCCCCCCCACCCCCTTAATGCCATGCAAGTCTCACTTAACAGCTTAAGTCATGCAAAGAGTGGGCAATAAAATGCCATGGATCGCTATTAATCCTTCCACCAAAATCGAGTAATTCTTGCCCAAAAATTAACTTCAACGTAAGGCAGAGTGCACAGCCTAGGGAGTTGAAAATTGCACGAGGGGAAGGAAGGTGGATATTTAACTCGTGTTTTAATTATTTGAATCCGGGGGTGGAGGAGGGGTGGGGGGGGGGGGGGGGGGAAAAAAAAAAAGGGGGGGGGNGGGGGGAGCGAGAAATAAAGAAGAGGGAGGAGCTATCAATTTCTAATTGGTAAATTAGCTGTGGAAGGGTAAATATACGTCGTAGATGGAAAGAATTTGAATTTTACTCCTAAAATACACCTTGTCTTACCTTCTTGTAAGCCTTGAAAACGTAGCATTTGAAACAACTGCTTTTGCCATCCCGTGCAATGTAGCTAAAGATTTTCAAGTCCTGAGAGTCGTGGGATACGTAGAATATTCTAGAAGGCAAAGAAAAAAATTCTGATAAATCGATGCCAGTAATTGGTGGTATTCCTAATTATTCATGCGACTTATTTGCTTACGGAAAATGTATTTTAGCCCAAACTTTTATTTAATCGGATATTTGTTTCCGACTTTCTGCCATTTAACAAGCCTTCATCAGACAAATAGATTTCTTTTTAAAAATATTCAAATTGATTGGAATGTTATACTTTTGATACTATTTACTAGTGTGACGAGAGTTAGAGAGACCAACGCATCGTACAGACGTGTATCTAGAACCATTCCAACAGTTCTCAAATACCATGTCATCTTCATGACAATGACATTTCCAATAGTGGTCAACCAGACTTTCTCTGCCACTCCACATGGGCGATTTGTTATTTCCAAGTGCATACTTTCGACAATTTCCGTCTTCTATAAAATAATTTTGGACACTACAAGTAGTTAACACCGCCTTGGCCATCAATTACAAGCAAAATTGTTTTATTCCAAAATCTCTGAAAGTTCAAGGCTCAAACTCCACTGGCGAATAATATAATGATTAACACATCTCACTTCCACCCCCCTCCCAACAGTCCTTATGCCAGCAGTACCATTTCCATGTCAACTATTTCCTCGTTTTCTCAATTTATTCGTTCATGCAAGGAGTACTTGTAACAGCATCGAAATGTATGAAATCGCGTTTTAAACTTGTCACGTAGACATCACGTAATTTCCTAATTGATCACTTCTCGCATTGGAATAAACATAAATGCAGCTTGTACGAAATTCCTATCCCACTCGACCAAATTCACTTCTTTCGATTTGTCATAATAGATCCACTGGTCTACTGCTTATAAATGAATTGCCTTGAATTTTACATAGTCCTTTCTTGAATAACAGACATTTTGGTAGAGAAAATCGATGGCTTTACCACCACCTCCCACCCCCCCCCCCCCCCCCCCCCCCCCGCCAATAAATGACAAATGAATAAAACTCTTGAGATCTGGTTGCGAGACAGTGTTATGAAACATCAAATGACTTAAATGGGTGGCTTTGTCGCTTTGTCGCTGACTTCACACATCCGTTTTTGGTCTTCGTAACCAGTAAACTACTGAGTATAGTTCAAGCCTATATGTTTGACTTAAATGGGGTGTGGGATAGACTTACCTTCTCGTGGTGCACCCTGGGCAACGTATAATCATACGGCAAAAAAGTCTATTAACCGGCAGTTGACTTCTCACTTCAAACAATCATCACCCCCACTGTATGTCAAATTGGACCCCTACCACAGCACTCATCTTACCCTTTCTGAGCCTTTGTGTCTGTTTCCTTTACATCTTTGAAGCATCCTTCTATTCCCCCTCCCGAATTCTTCTCATTTTGATGTTCCTCCTCCCCTCTGTGAAGCCTGAAGTCAACTAAAAGGGCCAATGATAACTATCAAAACGCCTGCCATTTGTTATAAATAAATAAATATTTGACTTAAATTTGCCAAGTCAGATTTAATACTTAAAAATCGTAAGCCTTTTTATAAAGAAGTTAAGCATAGACCCTGGATGTCATCAACTCCTTACAAACGAAAGCATCACGAGAAGGCAATGTCCGAGCAATCACAGTTAGTCTATTAGCAGACAGTTTCTAGAATGAGGACACGAAATTAAATTTAAACACGTGAGCCGTTTTCCCACTTAAAGAAGATCTATATGAATGGAAGAAATACGACCCGTCTTCTTTCTCAACACGACGAATGTAGAGTGGAGAAGTCATGACTTATAGAAAATCAGATGCCTTGTCTGTTGTGCAGACCTCCCCCCTTTCATTTCCTATTATACCATTATTCACTCTTAACAATTGTACCACCTTAATAACTTTCAAAATAATCAGGTGATCCCAATTACAGGTAGAGCCAAAATGAAAAAAATATATGTTAAAGAAAATGAAGTTAACTGCGCATAAAGAATTATCCAATTCTCATATCTTATTTCATGATATCTACTTGTTTCCTGGCAATAATTATCTTCATTAGTTGTGTTGGTTCCTATCCTTGTCCTATAACTCGGTCTTGACGTACGATTATTTGTTCTATTGGTGAATAAGACACCTTCTGAGCGGAAAAATCAGTATGACATGGGGATTATTACAAATGAGAAGGAACAGAGGCGCCTGTCTACATGCGGTGGTAGGATATTCCACGTGCTAACAATTTGTGCCGAGATTCTGGGGCTTTCTACAATTGCCAGTATCGAAACGCACGAAAACATATATCTAGAGGGGGAATATATGTTTTGGTTGCTACCAACAGTCTGAAATCATGTGTAACGAGAAAAGGAAGGACTATTTCTCTAGTGCAATATTTCCAGACGTATATATAATTGCAATGCAAGAAAACGATTTTAGTAAATAATTCTGTTATATTTCTATTTTTTTACACGATTGATAGTTTTTTTTGACGATATGGCTTTGAAATGGGGTGTGCGATAGACTTACCTCTACGTGGTGGTGGTCTATTAACTGGCAATTGACTTCTGATTTCAAACTACCATCACCCCACTGTATGT